GTGCTATAAAGTCAGTAAAGACAGATATCTTTGTAGATATTTTTATGGATTTAAAAACTATTTAACAACGCTCTTCCAATTGCAGATGTTGTACCGCGTTGACACGACACTTCAGTGTATGAGGCTTACGGAATATGTCAGATTAAATTTCAACAATAACATGCCTACGGCTGCTGTTTTAATATTAAAAAAAAAACTTTAATAAAATATGGCACCTTAGCTTGCTATATAAATTATCCGAATTAAAAGTTTCGATCAGTCTAATGAATCTTATTAATTCCTTTCTTGCTCAGAGAAAATTCAGTTTCGGTCGAAAGTGAAACATCTACGCTAGAAATATATAAGCAGGGGTGCCACAAGGTTCCGTTCTGTCCCCCACATTGTACCGTATATATATATAAATGATACACCCCATATACCTGATGACATCTGTATATATGCAACAGACCGCAAAGAGGGTTATGTTCTCAGAAAGCTGCAGCGAGGTCTCAGTGCTATTGAGACGTGGTGTGAACGCTGGAACAAAAAATAAAGATAAGACTCAGGCCATCTACTTTTCTCATACACTTAGCCTGCCCCTCCCCCCGAGGCTCCTCTTACATCGAATGGAAGAATATCCCCTTTGTCAATAATGTAAAACGTATTTGTGTAATCTTGGATTACACAAATTGGATTGGAAGACCTGTGACGATGGTATTAGTAAAAATATTATGTTTCTAGAAATTATTTATCGTTCTGCTTTATCTAAAACACCGTCCTGTTTAAACCCAAAAATAACGTTTCAAATTCTGTCACCGTCTTCAAGTAAAACCTATTCAGTTGTGTCCAATCCTTATCTCCGGAACCTTCAAGTGCGGCTTTTTTTTTTAAATGGCGGAACTGAATCCTATTTCTTAGCAGGGCCTTGCTGGCTCGTAAAGTTATCTTAAGAGAACGATGACTGTGATATGGAGCTTCCAATATCATGAGTCCTAAGACAGGGACTAGCTCTATCGATTGGGCTAAACTGAGAAGATTTTACCTGAAGACGGAGACAGAGTTCAGTGTCCGAAACGTTGTATTTTGAAAAATAAACAGGACGGTTTTTAGGTAAAGACAAGACGATGGATAATGTCTGAAAACATAATATTTGTACACACTGAAAATGTACACGGTGTATTTCGAAGCCTCATTACCAGATGTAGGTCCGTATCCAACTGAAGCTAATTAATCATTGCAGGAACATTCTGACACAGAAATGAGGCAGAGATACTAGCAGGTCACTGAAAGCAAATTAAGGTCAATTTTCATTAAGGGAACTCATGTTTCATATCAGAATGTTATCACTGCCTTGCTACTTATTCAACAAGTTTGCAATGTAGAGCACGATTCGTTGGCTGCCACGAGATGATTAAATCGGCGCGCAATAGTCTCTAACCCAGAGAGTTAGAGGATTGGTTTCTAAGGATTTTAGAAATTGTGTCAGTTGATGTAATGGGTATTTACATATCATATGAAAGTGATAGCAACTTGTTCTTGTTATGCAGAATAGCTTATTAATTCCTTGGCTTTCCGATGATTTTACAAATGCGTAGCTATAGCATATGGGCCATATGAGGGTACGATTCTCATGAACGACCCGTGAGTAAGGATTTTGAAGGAGTCGGTTGTGGTCTAGTTTAATGTATAACATTCAGACATGAGAGGCAATTATGAGGAGAACGGTTAGTTAACTCTTACACAACATTGATGTTTCAACCGCAGAAATTTTGGCATATCTGCTGAAAGCAAGAATTATAAAGCCAGCAGAGACAATCGTTGCTCTACAAACACGCCCGTTGCTAGGCAACAGAGACGCAGGCATTGATGGAAGAGATTTTTGTCAGCGTTCCGTACCGAGACTATAAAAAGAGAACCAGCTGCCATCACGAAAGAGTTTTGAGACGGCAGTCAGAAAAGTAGGATGTTTGTGTGAGATGGCCGCCAGCCTGCGAGGACGTGAGCGCGAGAACAGATAATCGTCCACTGTTGGAAGACTTTACCAAGTAGTGCAGTGAAGACCGTGACTGAAAATACTAATCTTAGTGTGATAATAATTTTTAAATTGTAATCACGAGTTCCTTAAGAGTTTAATAAATGCGATTATCAATCCAATCCCCGTCTATAGTCACTTCATCACGTGATAATATAAAGCGTCGAATGAGATACAACTATTATTACGAATATAAGGTAAGTAAGGAATTATAAGGAGAAAGTTATATATTATTTAAAGATGCTATATCCTAACTCCGACCGCCCATGTTCTAGAGGTCAGAGTTCCTAGCTACAGAACCAGAGGTCCCGGGTTCGATTCCCGGCGCTAACAGATTTTCTGAGAAGTAGTGGTTCTAGAACGAGGCCCACTCGGCCTCGTGAGGATAACTGAGGAGCTATTTCAAGGAAATAGAGGCTCCAGTCTAGAAAACCGAAATTAACGGCTGTGGGGAACCGGTGAGCTGACCTCTCTCCTCAAAAGTTGGCACTAACTTCGCCAACAAGTGGCGGTCGCTCTGTCGGTATAGTTTGCTTGCGAACTACAGGCCATGGAGTTTGTATTTTATACTAACTCGTCATGGAAAGGCAGAGAATAGTCATGGAAAGCGTCAGTCTGCAATTCGTTAACCCTTCCAAAGTTGGAACTGGGTAAGTCCTGGCTCTCGAATACAAGTCTACAATATTACCGTTAAGAAAAGCATGATGAAATTTCGACATACGGAAGACAGATGGTAGCACTAAAGCACACAGTAGATGCCCGCCTATCGCAGCCACTAAAGCTTATTACTGTAATTAAGGAGAACTTGTGAAGTAAAGGAAACTTTGCAAACATTCGTCAGTAAGTTTGTCACAACGACTGTGCTCCATTAGTTACATCAGACACATCGCTTGTTCATTTGTACTTGTAAGTTATTCAGTCCCGAGCCTTTATTCCAAAGTCGCGAATCCAACTTCCACTGATCACAAAGCTACATAAATCAGAAGCTATAGCCAGTCCTCGTATTTGACCTACTCCCAAATTTGGATGTTCCTTGCACGGAATGACTGTATCCTGATCGTCTGGTATATCTCAGAAACCTATGAACATATTTTAATGGAATTCGTAATGGAAATTTTAAAGAAAATCAATCAAAGAAATTTAATTTTGTTTCGTATCAGTCCAATATAAGACCACCTCTGTGATCTAGTGGTCAGATTTCGTGGCTACAGATCCAGAGGACCAGGTTCGATTCCCAGCGCTACCAGATTTTCTGAGAAGCGTTGTGTCTAGAACGGGGTCCATTCAACCTCGTGAGGATAACTGAAGAGATATTTCAAGGAAAAATCTGCTCCGGTCTAGAAACCCGAGATTAACTGCCGTGGGGATACGTTGCGCTGACAACGTTACACCCTCTAACCGCTGAAGTTGGCACTAATTTCGCCGACAAGCGGCGTATGCTCGGTCGGTATAGTTCGCTTGCATACTTAAACCACGGAGTTTGTTTCTGTTTTTGTTCAGTCCAATATAATCCCTGCTTTACATAAAGCCGGAACAAAATTCTACAGATTTCCATAAAATTCAAACATCATAGAGAAATGGTACAAGATATAAAATAGAGTCAAGAGCTATCTACGAATTCCACTGGAAAAATATTTCCATATATTGAGTATTTAGACGAAAGAAATGTAAAGTTAAATCTGACAACTGCGTCAGGCCTTCTGAATTTTACCTGTGATTTGATTTTCTCTGCAACAGGATAGTTTATCAGCAACAAATGAATACTAAAGCGAGGTTGAATGTAACCTGAACTATGCAAAAGAGACAACACACTACAATAATACATGTGCTTCAAATTAGAGCACGGGCGTTTGTGCATGTGTCGTCTGCCTCCCAAATGAAATAATTTCTGGAACAAATGGAGGAATTTCATGGGCATGGCTATTAATATCCTGTCTCTGATGAGTAAATATTCACTGGTAAAACATATTTCCCCATGCGTATTACTCGTATTATTCATCAACTCTTTTGTTCCTATGGAAATATATAAATAATTCACCCTCATGGAGATGAGACCTTCTTGAGAAACTAACAGTTGTGCAGCTACTCAAGAATTTCCCAATATTTTGTGGAACCCGAAGGTTCTTTATCGTGTTCACAAGAGCCCTCCAACGGTCCTTATCCTGGGCCAGGTAAATCCAATTCATAACATCCCATACTTTCTCTCTGAGATCCATTTTAATATTATCCACCCATCTACTCCTTGGTCTTTCCAGTGGTCTCCTTTCTTCCGGCTTTCCCGCCAATATCCTATATGCAATACTACTCTACCCCATTCGTGCTACATGCCCTTCCTATCTCATCCTCCTTGATTTGATCATTCTAATTATACTTGGAGAAGAGTACAAGTTATAAAGCTCCTCATTATGCAGTTTTCTCCAACCTCCTGTCACTTCAACTCTCTTCGGTCCAAATATTCTCCTCAACACTCTGTTCTCAAACAACCTCAGTCTATGTTCCTCCCTTAATATCAGAGACCAACTTTCACACCCATATAGAACCAAAGGCAAAATTAAAATTTACGCAAATAAATAAATAAATCATCAAAGTTTGAAAGTGTCATATTACGACGACATTGAAGGAAGTGAAGAGAATTAGGTCTCCCGTTGTTCAGGCCAAGTCAGCTGAAAATAACACGTGTTCTTTCCTGTGTAAGATATGAGGTGCTCACGGCGGTGACTATGAAGGACGCCGTCTTCTGGGATGTGGGGCCGTGTAGATATTGTTCTCAGTCAGTCTGCAGCCACCTGCTCACGCTGGTTCCTCGCTCGCAGATTTCTTGTACCCTGAAGATGAAGGCGATACATTCCTCCGAAACTCGGTTAACACAATATTCACACGGCATCACATTCAAGAAGACGGCATTCTTCATCTTCCTTCCTGTTGCAAAAATAAAAAGAAGGAAAAACAGAAACAGATAAAAAATAATGGAAATGAATCGTTCGCTTACCTTCCATCCCACCGTCACGTTGATAATCCACATGCAGTCAATGGGTTTCGCCAACTGATTAGTCTTCTCTAGGTAGGAAGTGTTTATCAAGCTGCTGTTCACCCAGCCCTGGTACCCATACAGAAAGATCTGGCATGCCGGCATCTCGACATGGCTCTCGCCTTCAACAGTCAGTACAGGAAATTTTGTAGAACTGTGACGGTTACTGTTCAAATGCTTTGGGTTTGTGGTCCCTCATACGTATTACGGGGCAGTTGGCCATCGGCGGTCCGCCTCAGATATTCCCCGCACCTCTCAGATTGCCTACGAGGGATATCAGGAAAGTAAAGATACAAGTCCAGTAAAATATGCAAGGGATATATTTTTTCTTTAGAAATTGCAGTACTGCCGTGTAAGATAGAAAAGGTATGACAGGGCGGAGTTCTCCGACCACAGTCAGGGCAACGTTGTGATCGCAGTATATGTTTAAAATGGCCGTGTCAATTCAAAATCCCGCCAAATGTGAGGTTAGTGCAGTAATTCGATTTCTTCATTACGAAATGAGAAACTTGTGCTGAAATTCATCGCCAACTTGTTTCTGTTTACGGCGAACTTGTCATGAAAAGGCAAAACGTGACAAAATGTCTTGAATTTGAAGTGGGAAGAAGTGAATGCCATCCGTTGTCACTGAAGAAGTCATCAAAAAAAAAATGATGAAAATATTCGTGCTGACAGACGTTTAACCATCGATGAACTCATCAATCAAGTCCGAAATTGTCAAGAACTGTTCTCCATGTCTAAGAGACCAGGCGGGAGATTTCTACGACGCTAAAATAAAAAAAAAACTCTTTCCCAGGCTCACTAAGTGCATTGTGATCCATGGTGGCTATATTGAAAAGTAATTAAGGTGTGTTTTAAAAGAGGTAAAGTTAATAAAAAAGACGCCTTACAAATATTTTCTGGACTTTGTATCTTTACTTTCGGGATATCCTTTTTACGACCAACTGCAGATTTCGGCTTCCTCTGGCTGAATTTGAAACTAGTTTTTGGAAGTCTTCATGGGCATGCGAATACTAGTAAATGGATAGAGATATTCAGCCTGTATTTTATATATTATATTTATATAACTGTACCGATTTGCAGCGCAATTATATAAATAGAAATTATGACTTCCATTTAGATCAACAAAAATTCTGTTGTCAGTAATTTGTCTGTGCGTTCGTGTTTAAACCTATCTTAACATATATATGGCAAGATAAGGTTTCCGTCAACACAACAAACGTGGTTTTACAATCAATCAATATACACAATGAATTTTCTACCGCTACATGTTTCTATCCTCAAGTTGAACCAAGCTACGACATATGTAACGCACGTACAGAGAGCAAGGCACATGTACATTAATAGTAGCAATATCTTACAACCTATACCAAAGACGTATACTGCATGAATATTAACACATAGTAACAGCCCATAACAATAATATCCAAAATACATTACTACAGCACAACCTCGGGCGTAATGACATCCAACTTGAGAGGCGCTCAACGATGTGGCTTCCCACAATTATTCACACAACACTGGAAACTCTGAACATTACACGAGAAATTTCAACATCATGTCCCATAATCTTAATATTTGTTCCAATATTTTTCATATTTTTATATTTTAATTGTATAACTTTTAATTTTCCAAGTATAATTAGAATGATCAAATCAAGGAGGATGAGGTGCGGAAGGCATGTAGCACGAATATAGGTGACGAGAAATGCATATAGGATATTGGTGGGAAATGCAGAAGGAAAGAGACCATTGGGAAGACCAAAGCGTAGGTGAGTGGACAATATTAAAACGTAAGATTTGAGGTTTTCACGGCGGTGACTATGAAGAAAGCAGTCTTCTGGAATGTGGCGCAGTGTACGTGTAGTGTTAACCACATCTATACGGCGCCACATTCCAGAAGACTGCTTTCTTAATATTAAAATGGATCTTAGACAGATAAAATGGGATGGTATGGATTAGATTGGCTCAGGATAGGGACCAGTAGAGGGCTCTTGTGAACACGGTAATTAAACTTCGGGTTCCATAAAATGCTGCTAACTTTCAATTTTATTCCCAAGTCATTATCTCGTAATATAATATCTTTTCGTCTTCGATAAATTGTACATGGTTATAATTTCAATATAATTTTTATTACAAATTCTTTGTATAACCTTAATATTTTAAGAAGGTCAACATTGTATTCCTTACTTTCTAACATAGGCATAACTTTAAAACATGGACGTGTTGCACTAAATATAATCCATATTTAGAAATTCAATAACTTTAGTGATACGATCATATTACTGCCTAATGATCGTCCCATGAGGTCGGAAACATTGTAACGGTAGGAAAGAAAATTCTATCTGAATATTGATTGATTATAAAACCACGTTTGTTGTGTTGATTGAAACCTTACCTTGCCATTTGCTCATGACACGCAAAAGGATGCACACTGAGAAAAAATATACATATATATTGCCACTTTGCCAAGCCCTGTCATTCTATGCAAACAAAGCAATCTTACTACAGGAATGTGCGAAATCTTATAAAGTAAAATTTTCTAATAAATTCCTTAGTCGATTAATCTGTTAAGGCATAAGGAAAAAATATAGGATATGTGATATATACAGTAAGGACAGTATACAAAACAATATTTCTGAAACAACAAAATAGTCACCAATGCGCCAACATTTTGTTTTTATTTTATTGTTCACGTATAACTACAGAAGCACGGACAGCACATGTTCCCAAATATATTAGTCTACATAACTTCCTATAGTAAAAACGTATTTATTCGCTTACACTAACTTAAACTGCAAATTCTTCACAAAATTGAGGAAAGCAGACATGTTGCTGTTATGTGTCGGATCCAAACCAATATCAATCATATTGCTTCTTCTGCTGAACCTTGCTGATTATGGGGGCATTTAGCGACATTTAAACTTCAGCAGATGCTATATGGTGTTAAATTAAATGGTAAAATGAGCATTGACAGCAAGCTCCTTAACATGGGGAATGAAGTCGTCTCACGGAGACACTGCTGAAAAACCACGATACAAAAATATTCAGGCAGTATAATCCTTTAAGTCAGCCTGGATCTGAAACCCTGTATCCCGAATACAAGTAGGCCCTATACAGAGCATTGCTACAGCAAACTTATCGCAGGAAAGAAAGGAATTGTACACGCTCCGTTGCTCTTAATAAAAGTAAATCATGGCAAGGCAGGGAGATATTCATGGAAATGCAATTTTATTTTCATCGCAGAAGCGAGGCATGTTCTTTCACTCCGGCAGGTTGCAATTTTCTCTTTGAATGTAACAAAATAAGAACTTAAAATGGATTTTGGTGGAAAAACCGAAGAGTTTGGGGCACATTATGTGCTTTTTTGTTTCGCGCATCTTAAATTAAATAGCTACAAGAAAGTAAAAAGCATAATTATTGAAACAAAGCGAGTGGGGCAGCATAATGTTAAGGAGCCTGACTGCCATGTGGAAGGTACATGTTTCGAATCCGAACCGCTGACACACTCTTCTGACTCAGACTTTTGCTGTGGATTAGTCAATGTCTCCAGGCTAATGACGAAGCATATCTACCTACCTAACTGCCTGCCTACCTAACTACCTACATGCCTGCCTGCCTGCCTACCCGCCTACCCACCTATGTACCTATATCTATGTCTCTACAGTCGCTTGTTGAACCTTGGCCTCTTCGGTTTCCTAATTCTATACACAGTTGGCAGGACACCTTGGTAAGGGGATCAGCCCGTCGCAAGGCCTCTCCCTACACACACACAAAAAAAAAACAGAAATAGAATAAACGTAAACAGACATCCATGCTTTGAGTGAGATTCGAACCCACGATCCCAGGGTTCGAGCGAGAGAATATAGTTCACGTCTTAGACCGCGCGGTCGTTGTAATCGGCATATCTGTTCTCACAGAACAAAATTGCATTACCACATTTCGTCCTAACATTCATAACCAAATAATTGATAGTACGTTGTGAAATGGAATTAGGGAGGCAAGCTAAAGACATAAAGAAGAGAAATGATATATGTGCATAAGAAAGAAGGAAAGAAGAAATGGAGAAGTGAAGTAGCTTAAAAGGGGATAGAGCGCAGAGAGAAAGGAATGAAAGATAATTGAAGAAAACTGAGAGAAAAAAAGAGATAACGATGGAATAGAAGAGAAAGATAGGGGAGAATGGAACAGTCTGTCACACCCTTGGAGCACCCTATCCCAGAGGTCGGAAATTTTTCAACCTCACAAAGCATAATGTTCCACATGATCTTAACTATAGAATACACGATGATTGTTATGTGTTCGTTTCGTATTGTTCTCAGAATATACAGCGATTTACTTTTCTTAGCAGTAATTAAACATGTGAACGAATTTGTTAAACCGATCTATATAATTAGGACACACGGTGTCTGTGTGAGGGAGAAACTGAATTTTTAAATGATGATAGAAGAAATTATTTTGTCGAAACGGTAAGAGAGAAGAACCATTTGTGGAAATATTCTTAAAAAGAAACTATTTTTATAGCAGCATTGGAGTTTTGGCTTTTACATCCCTTTCTCTAATTCATGTCACAGAGAAATTTTATACAAACCTCATCTGTAGTGTGTAAGATTTGAGGTTTCTACGGCGGTGATTATGACGAAAGCAATCTTCTGGGATGTGGCACCGTGTAGATGTGGTGTTAACCGACGTTTCGGAGGAACGTATCGGCTCCATCTTCAGTGTAGAAGGAAAAAAAAGAAATCTGCTTGTACCGGTTCTCACGGTCTCTTCACTTGCGGATTTCTTATTTTTCCTTCTGTCCTGAAGACGGAGGCGATACGTTCCTCCGAAACATCAGTTAACACCACATCTACACGGTACCACATTCCAGAAGACTGCTTTCTTCTCATCTGTACAGGTTTTACGATTCTGTTATTTTATTTAATTTATGCAACATAATACGGTAGTATATAATAAACATTTGTTACTTATTTTGTATAGAAGTAGCAATATCATGTAATAACCAGAAAGAAAAACCCAAGAATTCAAATACAACCCGCTCTTCCTATCTTAAGAGCAATTATTTCAGATACTTCGTGCTCTAATGCTAAGTTGTATAATATAATATAATATAATAATGTGAAGTATAATTTTTGTAACCACTGATTGCCTGAGATTTCCGTATATACCAGATCCTTCAGAAATGTAATATTCTAGCTAGCAATTCGTGGTCCACAGCAAGTCTCGGGCTTGCGCGTTAGCTATTATTAACAAAGAGTCGAACTTATATAATTTAGAGCCACATGCTGCTCGCTTTCGATCTATGAACCACACGCCGAGCCTGGCACGACAATATGAGACTACTGAGGAGTAGCTCGAAATTGTCCACAGAGTTGCGCAGGCAGACGCAAATATACCTGTATCTCTCCTTGGACGCGCACTCCCCAGCCTGACAGTATTGTGCTAGTGTGATCCGCCTAGTTGTCAGGCAACTTGCCGTTTGAGTTGGACTGGAAACTGGGTATAACCGGTGTAGTCCAAACTTAACTGTGTCTTGTATTCATAAACGAATGAGCAGCATAAAGCCGAAAGAAAGGTATGCTTAAAGGGTTGAATGTCATGCAGAGCATGGATATATGAGCATTTCAGTACTGCCTACTTAGCAAAGTAAAATAAAAGAGGTAAAGTTATCCCTGTAAGAGGCCGTGGAGGTCCATGAGGTTGTGAGATGTTGAGGCTCCCACATTTTCTAGAAAATCGGTTCATAGATGGCGGTGAGGTTGCCAGCCCTATGCATCAGGCGCCCTTTAACCCAAGGAATATTCCTGGTACTCATTTCTATTAGAGGCTCAGTCGAACCTAGAACCATAGTGCGGCTAGAGGGATTAGATAAATTGAAAAAATCTACGTCATTTGGATTTGATCACGCGGCCTTCCAACTTGTAGCATAGTGCCCCGCCTACTTGTTATTATAAACCCAAAATATTGGGACAGTTATTACCATCGTAAATACTTTAAGAATTTTTGAAGGATAACTTCAAACTGGTAAGTTTCCATGGAGATGTCCAGTTAAAATAAATTAGTTTTTCGAAATCATAGGAAGAGGGTTCAGCATTCAGACACTCGGAAGACCGAAGGAAACGCCTCCCTGTCTCCTCACAGTGCATCAATTTCAATCGTATTTGAAGTTAAGCTATTAAGGTGCATTACGTACGTTCGGATCGTAGGAGGAATTATGTAGGTCTACTAATTTCATGAAATCAGATCAAGGAAATTGGACAGAATAAAGTAACTGGCTGCATAATGGAACCATGGGATCGTTTCCCGACAGCCGTATGCCTTCCTTCAGCCATCGTATCAACACCAGTTCTGGAGCCCCCTCAGATTTACATTCATTGAGCAAGGAAATTTGTTTCTTTGGGGTCAAGCCGTCAGAACGTGCCAACTCGCCTCTGTGTTACGGAAAGGACATGAATCGTTCTATGTACTGGGCTATACTCCTCCGTGTCGTGGAGCAATATCGAACACCTCGGCTAAGTGAATACCATTCTTGCTTCGTAACCTGGAGACGGCGGGTTTGAATCTCTACTCGGATACTAGTTTCTGTGGTTTATCTCAGCCCCGACAAACAAATCCTGATAAAATGCTTTAAAATAGGTCACGACCCATCTCATAGACGTCTTTTTCAATTTATTACTTACATCCACTCTAAAATTACATGACTTATGCAGTTGATATGGTGTCATGAAATAACCCGACATCGTTGAATCCGAGAAAAAATATTTTTGCCTTTGTACTAGGCACATAAGTCTGTGACTAAAATTGCAGAGTCGTATTGCTCACCATTGGAAGGCAGAATAGATTCGTACACGGCAGTGAACCCGGCCCCCTCGATAGTATCATCCGACTTGAAGCGCAGCCAGAGGTACCGCGAAGTGGAACCGATAATGTCAGGGAAGATGTTGCCACAGAACTGGCCGATAAGGCGGTCATAGCCATGGCCGCCGTCCCGCACCTCCAGGTAGTCATAAGTGCAGTTGTTGCTGTATTCTACGTCGAAAGTGTTCCTGAAGTCCAGCTTCAGTATGTGACCAGGTTCGGCTGAAACCAATAACATGACACTTCAGTAGGTATTTAGTTCCTGCTGAGACTAATATTACGAGAATTACCACTTCAGTATGTGACCAGGTTCGGCTAAAACCAATAACATGACACTTCAGTAGGTATCCAGTTCCCGCTGAAACTAATGTTACGAGCATTACCACTTCAGTATGTGACCAGGTTCGGCTGAAACCAATAACATGACACTTCAGTAGGTATCCAGTTCCCGCTGAAACCACTATCATGATTTCAGAATGTAGTCAGGTTTTGCTGAAATCAATAATAATGTAATTTCAATTAGTGGTTCCCGGAAAAGAAAAGCGGAAAAGAATTTAAAAAACCGTAAGACTGTCTGCAGTGTAATGCACCAAGGCAAGAAAAAGTTCTCACGTTTGCAAGAAAAATTCCATGCATGAATATAGTGGGTGGAGGGGGTGGGAATAGAACTCCAGGCACTCAAATTCTCGGAACGGATGATAAAGAATTCATGCGCCGGAAATCCAAGAGCTAAAGTCCGGAGAATTGCACAGAAGAAATTGTTGCGTATGATACAGGGTGCAAAAATTCATATGAATCGGTCACTTACGAATAAGTAAGGACGAAAAATGAATGAAGAATCACTTGCGAGTGAACCCTCAATTCTGAGTTTTGTGTTATCTGGGACTTACAACAAGATTTTTATTACTGTCAGACAGTTGCGGGTTTGTTGATGTGGGGCGCTCTCTCTGATAATAGCACGGCTCTGTCGTATTGCTGATGGTCCCTGCCAGCGCAGTCATTCTCAGGTCAGAGTCCCGTGGGGCACGAGGCCATATTTTACTGTCTCAGATTCGAGACTTCGTTATCGTCGTCTCCTACGACTCACAGGGCTATGGTGGAAGTATTAGAGCCCGCCTCCACACGGTATACCCTCGAATCAATTAAATGTGCCCCTTTTATAACTTCGAGGCGAACCGAACCGTCTGCTTGCTAATTTCATAGCAAGCCATTGTCTAGCAATGGACTATTCCACGTTAATTTACTAGTGAGCCGTTGTCTAACAATAGACTATTTCGGCTTTCAGGCACCATGTCACAATATTTTCAAATTTGATTGCAATTATATCTTGAGTAGTAGTAGAGCTATTGGCGTTAGTAGTTAGGGGAACACATCAATCATGCTATATACTTGTTTATTTATTTACTTGTACTTAGTGATGACGTTACTGAATCAGATTATGTAGCGTCACATGACACAATGATTACGGAAGAATGAACTTTAAAGGATATGGAAGAAAAACATATTGACTTAATTTATTATCAATTCGGAATATTTGGCTGGAGGGACGAGGAAACTCACGAAAGAACTCGATGTCCAGCACAAGTATCCAAATGGGCACTTCCGAATATAATTTAGAAACATTGCTACTGGAGCCAATTTGCTGGTCTGGTATCACATTGGACATCCCTGGCCAAATAACTGGAAACTACTAATTGAGTAAGTCCAAAAATAAATACTATATATCGCCAGCATAGTGCGCTGGAATTAATCACAGCCAGACGTTTCTCATTGCGCAGACCGCCCACCGAACGCCTCTGAAATTCCGAAATTCACGGAGCAGTGCCCTTACGTGGTATCCGTAATGCCTCATTTCCATGCAGTAAGTCATACCATTATGGAAAGCGGTACTACACTTACGATAAAGGTAACTTAACAAATCTCTTCCTTACGATACTCCCTCACTCGTCAGCCTTGAAGTAGCGCATACCGAGCTTAATCAGAGTGGCAGGAATTGTCCCGGGAAACATCTGAAATTCTGCTAGCGCCTGCTCACGCTGGTTCGCTCGCGGATTTATTTTTTTCTTCCCTGAAGACAGAGGCGATACTTTTCTCGAAACGTCGGTGAACACAATATATACACGGCGCCACATCCCAGAAGACTGCTTTTTTCAATGGTAATAGTTGGTCAAGATTATTTCACGACATAATTTTTTTAAAAAATTACTATAAAATTAGACCAATCATTATGAAATAACAACAGCTAAATTATACCAGTGTACTCATTGAAAGCACGGGATTAAGGATGGAACATGTCGCGTCTGGCTATGTTCTGAAAATCGTTTTCATTTACTACGGATTATATTGATGTACTACGCAGCGTAGAAGCAGAACATATCAGATTGAATGGGAGCATAACATTTTCATTAAATCAAATATTTACAATATCCAAAAAGGTTTAAAATAAAAATAATATATTTCAATGCGACCGATATTTTACCTTATACAACATGCGTTCGCACCAGGAGGCATTTATTAGAAAACTGAGTTACTTTTAACTAGATGTAAATATGGACAGACGAAAACAAAGAGAAATTTGCAGATTGCAGAATCATAATACAAAATTCCATCGCTCAATTGGGTAGTTCTGGAGGCGAAGCGTGTGGATGGGCAGACACTAGACAGACAGAAATATCATTTTACTTACACAATCGAAGTACAGCTCGCGCAAACTGAAGCATGTTTATAACAGCTCCGGTGTACATGACATCTTACAACGCCATGCGTTCATACGATAAAATATGCTACAGATTTTACATACTAATCCAAGTAAATTTTCTGTTCCGTTATTTTCAGAGAAACAAAAAAACTTCGTTGTTTCAGTCCGCAAGCTAACTATACCGACCGAGCGACAGCCGCTTGTCACCAACTTTAGCGGATAGAGGGTGTCGCGTGGTCAGCATAAGGGATCCCCACGTCCGCTAATCTCGGGTTTCTAGACCGGAGCCGCTACTTTTACATTCAAGTAGTTCCTCAATTATCATCATGAGGCTGAATGGACCCCGTTCCAGACCCAATACTTCTCAGAAATCTGGCAGCACCTGGAATCGAAACTGGGACCTCTGGATCTGTAACCAGGAACTCTGACCACTAGACGACAGATGTGATTTTATTTCCAGAGATCAAAGTCATTTTCTGGAAGCAAACAGTCGCTCCGCTGGTAAAGCAGTCATCGCCATAACGCAACCCGGAGTGGTTGGTGTTCAAAAGGACTTTCCATTGGACTCTACAATGAGCCAGTCGAACCCAGTCAACACGCCCATACCCAGCTGCCAAATAATCAGTCAACGTCGGAGACATTGTGAAATATTTCGTAACATTCAAACTTTATACGGTGGAACTTGTTAGCCCCTCCGCCCAAGTCCCAGGCTGTAAAACTACCCCTTGTCAGTTGTCAGCGACTTTTGATTCAGTACGTTAGGTGCTGCCCTCCATGTAAAGAGACAGCTGTTGTATGAGCAGCCTGGGGTATCTTATGCCGTTTCGACGAGGGACCCTAATTAAATTGTTTATTTAACTTTTTCTTTCATCTGTACTGAAATTACAGCTCCTCTCGTGTTCTATTGCTTCCGTTCACCATCAGAGACTTTCAGTTATGATGCAGAAATAAATTATACCCTGATGAAAGAGACAACTTCCGTGGGGACTGCGACTGCTTTGAAAGAGAACTAGACGAAATGTCTTTCAACATCTGCTTCAGGCGCGAGTTTTCAACAGACCGGCGAGAAGTAAGCTGCAGGGTGTCGCAGACAAACAGAACTTTCGATCAAGCACAACGTAAAGACAACTGTCGCCATTTATTTCCATAGCAATCGAGTTAACCACAAATACAGCAGAATTCCTACTAAAAGGAACAAATCTGCCCCACCTCACCGCCAGAGCCCCTAGCTCGTCAGATCAAACGTAACAGAAATCCAGCTCAAGCCAATAAAGCGACTGGATACAAGATGTAGGCCGGGGTTTGATTTCTGAGAGACACAGAGATTTCTTCATGTCTAAGGAATTTCTGTGACTTACCTAGCCCCCTATCAAAATGTTGCAGTGTGGAATATATTCCTAAGTTCTAAAATGTTAAGTTTCATATTGTTATTAAACATATTTTTACTTGGTTATAATCTTACAATAGGAGCCGCGGTAGCGTAGTCGGTAAAGCAACTGGCTACAGGCTGCACCCAACCTCCTATCCAATGGGTACAGGGTCTCTTTTCCCGGGGGCAAAGCGGCAGGAGCGTGAAGCTGACCACTCACCTCCAGTTAGTGCTGAGGTCAAGAAAATGTGGATCTATACATTCACTTCCCCATACGCCTTCATGGCGTAATGGTTAATTCGTGGAGCACCTGAACAACTTTACTTTTATAACCTTATGATTTTTTGAGTATTGCGTACATTTTAAACAAAGGGTACGGGTCAGTGAACCAGAAAAGACAGAGAGCCACTTCACTGCACTTTACTACATATCTGATTTACTGAATAACGTTATCTGTTCATACTTGTTCTAAGTTCTAACTTCAGTCTTCAATAGTTATCTGGCATAATTCTAGACCTAGAAGCCAGTTTTCTGAGCATTTCATTGCGTTTCCTCACTCCAGGGACAAGAATTGAAATTTTAAAATAAATCACGATTAATTTCCGCTACATATTTAATGCTAAAAATCCTGCATAGCTGAGGAAATGTCGTTGAACCACTATCTACTTTATACGGCCGAGGTTATTATTGGGGAGTTCATAGTCGCTTAGCTGATCAAGGGGTTTCCTGCATTTGCGGAAGTCGAACTTTTGTTACCGTAGTTTCTAAATGGTTCTGCCGATGGTGTATAACACACAAAATTACTGTGTTTTTGGACTTTTTCCATCGTCCGGTGTTCTAGAATACAGAAAACACGAATTTTCGGAAACGATCTGTTTCCAGCTTCAGGTGAGGAGGGAAGACACCTACTCAGTTGGGCCCCTTAGAAAGAGCTAATCTGTCACTAGGTCCAGTGACTGAGATTAGCTCTCTTTAAGGGACCCAACTGAATAGGTCTTCCCCCTTTCTCCTGAAGACGGAGACAGATCCAGTTTCCGAAACGTCGTGTTTTCTATTCTCTAGAATACCAGACGATGGAAAAGTCCGAAACCCAGTAATTCTGCGTTTTATTACCGTGTTCACAAGAGCCTGACACTTTACCCAACCAGAGCCAGA